AAAAAAAGCTTTGAGTCGAGTACGACGAAAGAAAGATTCAGAATCTTTGTTGATTTGAAAAACATCAGTTTTTCTAGAAATAGGAATAAAATTGAGACCTTTGCTCAAAACAGAGATTTCAGCCTCAGAAAGCATGAGATTGTCAGGAATAGTAAAGACAGATTTTTTATCTTGAAAAGTATGACTAGATCGATCGTCGTGATGAGAAATGTTATTGACAATATTGTTGTCATTGGAAAGATACCCAGAAGAATTATGATCGTTGACAACAAGGTTGTTGTCAGAAGGAGCATTAGACATTTTATTATTAACAACATTATTATCATTAGGAGCATTAGGACAGGAAACAGGCCTGGTTAGATCAGTGACCTGTTTACTAAGTACATTAGGAATTACCCTTCTTATTAGTATTCTATTTGAACTTTTGATTTCTTTGCAGACCGAGAACAGCCAGCCACCGCTAGATATTAGAGCAATAACCAGACGATGTACACAGCATATCTGAAACAAGTATATATGGACCTGACATCCGTGGGAAATACACTAGAACTGTTACTCTTGATAGATTTATCCTTCAGGATTTGTATTTTGACATATTGTATTTTTAGTGCAGTAAATAGTATTTTTATAATGTAATTTTAGAATTTTCAGCGCTTATGTATTTTAATAGCTTTTAATATAGTTAATAGCGTTAAAACGCTGTACTCTCCAATGATTGAAATTGTATCTTTTTATAACATAAGAAGGACACAGCATATTTAAAAAAAATCAAATTAATCACTTTAATTAACATTGTAGTTCGAGGTCGAATTCATGAGAAGAAGAAAACATATCCCATAATGAAAGAGATCATTTTGGTGTAGTTACGTTTTAGCAAAATTTGCCAGAAATACAGGATGTTCGTGTAATAAAAACAAGAAAAGTACACAAACTGCTATGATATCTGGATGAAAATGATCCTCAAAAAAGAGATTCAAAATATTGGATGGCACCTTTGGCAACTATGATTCCGTTTAGTTCTAAGTTCGAAACGATTCCAAAAATCGTCCTTGTTTTACCAGTGTCTAACAAACCTGAGGTCTACATTCAACCATCAGACTGGAGTTTAGAAGTTGTGTTGTACGGAGGGAGGAAAACCTGAGTACCCAGAGAAAACCCTGCAAGAACAGAACGAACAGTATTATATAGCARTATTATATGGGTTAAGAAGTGTAAATGTTTGTGCAAGAAGCGAGCAAATCTTTTAAGTCTCSATTTCTGTCAACAAGTTACACTTTCATCTCGATTCCACACGATATACAAGATCAAGAATCCATAAATCGAGTAAAGCCAGGGAATGACTTAGATCAAAATATTACCTTCAGAGGGTTTGTTTGGATACATTGCCTTGCCTCATAAACGCAGTCGCATAAATTTTCATTTCCTCACAAGACACACAAGATAGATCGCGAGGACTCAGGTGGATTGAAAGGCTGTCAAGTAGTTAGCCGACTATATCATCTCGTTTGATTCCATGGTGTTCAGTTAGGAAACTTAACACGGCGAAAAATCCATCATTTTGAGCTTGTTATTCAACCATCGCAGACAACAACTTATATTCCCCTGTTTAAATGATCAGATTTGCATATCATACATGCACTGCGTGACAAGTGGAACGTGACAGCATGATAACCAATAGGGTTGTTTCCTGATTAGGGGATTCCCCTAAATATGTCTGTATTAATGATATTAGCCCCAGGCTCTTTACAAAGAACATAGACCATGATCATGACTTGTTGAATATGATAGCGTATTGTGAATGTGATCTTGCTATATTCTGTATATTATATGCCAGGATAACAGAAAAGCGGTTCTCTCAAACACTATAAGCTGAGGAAACTCATAAAGTCGGTTAGAAAGATGTCTCTTAGTTCTTTTGAGATTTAATGATCGATGAACATTGTCACCTTAGTGCTCTTCGCTCTTTTTATTGTGGTAAAATGTTCTGTATCTCAACCGGCTTACAGGGAGAGGCATACAAGTTTCCTGGGGAGAGGTTAGGGGCCTGGGGAGAGCTTGATACTCAGCTTAGTATCCGTGAGGCTGTTCACCACGGCTGTTTCAAATCGGAATTTTAATCCGCTGACCAAAAGTATGTTTGACGCTATTCTTGCGTAGAACTATATATCATATTACGAGAAGCGTGGTTTCGAAATTCGACTTCTTCCAAACAAGAAGGGATTGCTGATCGTGAGGAAATTATTTACTTTATTCGTGGATTATATCAAATGCATGGTATGTGTGTCTAAATGATCCAGAAAATGAAGGAATGACAAGGTCTATAAATATTGTCTGGGAAAACTAAGACCTCACTGGAAACAGTGACAGCGACGAAACTCTCGATTATGAGAGCGAATAATTATATGTAACATAAAAAAACAACTTTAACTTCTACTAACAAATCAGTTTATATATCATACGATTATTTTTCTATTTCTTAAGTGTATCAT